CTCCACTTAATGAAGAAACCCAAATGGGTAATGGACCTACAAAAATATGCAAATTTCAATAAGACATTTTTTGTGGCCTGTAAAAAAAATACGGCTACAGAGACTTTAGGTGTAATTTAGCTTCTGTAAGATGGCGAGGGTTAATGAAATATAAGAGTCAGGAATCTGGAATTTGATAAGGGAACAATTCAAAACTCTGTCGTAACTACCAAGAGGGTGCAGTAGTAGTAATGGGTTTAGAAGTACTTCAACAGCATGTCGATATCTGTTAATCTCAACATAGGGATCAGTTTAATTAAATTAATAGCTCCTTTCCAAAAAGAATACTCTGCTTCCAGTAGTACTACTATAAATTATAATATGATTAATAATAATAATGATATTAATTAGGTGCTTAACAATCGCAAGCAATGAAAAGTTCAGAGTAGAATGGGGTTCGGAATTATGACCAACCGTGAGCGTAACCTACATGCTGAATCATAAACTAAATTACAGTTTATTATTGCATTATAAATTGTGTTATATTAAATTGAAACAAATTACACGAAAGTTATAAGGCTAGAAATCTGGACAACACGAATATAGGCTAAAGGAATTCTGCTCGAAAATTGAAATCTTATAATGACATAAATTTATAAATGTTCTGATTATGAGTTCTTCCTCTTTCATGATTAATACCTTTTCGCTACTTACAAATGTTGCTCTTCTTCATGACGTTAGTACAATAATTAAGTTATTAATTATAAGTATTAATTAGCGTCAACAATAAATTCAAGATGGCATGATTTATTAATTAATCAATTTTAATCAATAAGCTGTGTTGGTAAATACAATTGAGCACCTTCCATTAATTATTACTACTGAATACAAATGAACTATACTATTACCAAATATGATATATTAAAACAATTTAAAAATTGACACCATTAAAAAGTTTTAACTGTTTGTGACACTGCGTGCACCCTTACTCCACCCCAGTAAGGTTTTCGTCTTTCACGTTCTAAATTGTTAACCCTATTCATTTAACACAAAGGACATTTGTTAAAACCCTATATTTGTATAATTCGTAATATAATTGGCCATTTATTTCAAAGAATGAACAGAAATTAAAACAAATTAAAAACAGTATTATTGTGAAAAAATCAGTTCTCAAGATAAATATATTATTACGGGGATGTGGAGAGTTTAGTAACAATTATTTCTGTAGTTTATTCCCTTCACAGACTTTTCTTGTTTTGCAGATATGTTAGTAGCACATGTAGAATAATTTATACAAAAACTAGTCTATAAAATTTGCATTGGAAACTGAAAAATAAGAAGATAAATGGAATGATAATACTAAGACACTCTACAGAAGATCATAGGGTAAATGCCGGATTTGACTGGTTTTTTTTCTTTCCCCCCCCCCTTGGCACTACAGCCCCAGTGGGCCTAGGACTACCTCCATGAACTTCTCCGCGTTCACTTTTCGGTTTTTCTAGATCTTAGACATATGCTAGGATTCCTTGGGCGGGTGATCAGCTCGTCGCAAGGCCTCTACCTGTACACAAAGACAGAAAAACGCACACAAACATCCATGCCCTGAGTGGAATTTGAACCCACGATCCCGGCTTCCGAGCCATCGAAGACAGTGCATGCCTGACTGCCTTTAAACAAGTTAACTATAACGATGAGCTGTGTGGTGACTGTAGTGGATCGTATACTTTCAAAGAACCAGGGAATTTTTTAATGGTTTAATATATTCCTAGTTCGGAAGGAGTTAATTAATGAAGTGATTAGTTGGTTAGTAAGTCAGTGAATTTTTTTAAGAATTCTAAATGAAGTAACTAATCAACCAACACCATGGGGCATAGTCTTTCTTGAGAAGCCAATTGTTGCCCAGTTGATTAAGGTACTCCTCGTAATTTATGGAACCCGAAGGTTCATCAATATATTCACAAGATTCCGCCACTGGTCACCATCTTATGTCAGATGAATCGATTACCCTCATACCGTATTTTCGTAAGATCCATCTCAATACCATCCTCCTGCCCTCCTAGTAATTTCATCCCTTCTAGTTTGCCAGCAATTTTGAATCTATTAAGGCTTCCAGAAATATGAAAGGTAAACCTATTGCCAGCCGGTCACGGTAGCCGAGCGGTCTAAGGCATGTAAGTCTTCGCTCGCTTGGAAACCTGGATCGTGGGTTCGAATCCCACTCAGGTCATGGATGTTTAGTTTGTGTGTGTACGTTCTTCTGTGTTTGTATACAGGTAGAGGTCTTGCGACGAGCTGATCACCCACCCCCTGGAGTCCTACCGAATGTGTAAGATCTAGAAAAACCGAAGTGAACGGAGAAGTTCATGGAGGTAGGCCTAGGCCCACTGGGGCTGTAATGCCAAGGACAAAAAAACCTATTGCCGATTTATAATATTTGGCAGATAGATTAGATGACGTATTTATGAAGAACTAAAGAGGTTTTGTCATGCATTGTTGCTTCAGGTATCGTGTCATGGGGAAATGGTTGCGCAAGACCTGGGTATCCTGGCGTCTACACACGCGTCACTCGGTACCTGTCATGGATAAAGGAGAACTCTAAGGACGGATGTTACTGCCAGGACTGACCACCATCCTACAATCCTACAACCGTGGACCTGTGGAACCATGACATGTGTGCTGCATAAATCAAGGGGGACAGGAGTCTACTGGAGAAACCAAAGTTGGAGATTTAAAGCCATATAAACAAATTACCGGACATAATGAGATTATTTTTGTTACTATATAAATTGTTTCATATAATAAAATAATGTTATATAAATGTTCGTGAATTTCAGTCCTTTCTAATCTCATCTATAGAGGCTTATATTTTTTTGTATCAGGGACTATGTGATATACACATTGTAAACGGATACGCTCCCATATTTCTTGCAATATGAAATTTCATTGGAACATTATTTTCGTTCATCTAGTTAATTGAACTGTTACTTTCGACTCATCCTAGACCAGTCCAGGTTACGTCTTCTTTCAAGACTGATATGATATGGGCCTAAACTATCGAAATATTATTAATAATGTTGTATTTTAGTGTCAAATTTTGTGTGAACTAATTATTATATGTTCCATCGTCACAATTCCTACATAAATTGAATAACTTTATGTCATTTTGAATTTACAATATGTTTCGGCCATTCAGACCATCATAAGATAAGTCATTTTACATTAGCGCTCCACTTTATCTGATGTTATTCCGCTACAGGGTCCAATGTTTACAATTTTTACAGTTTTTAAAGAGAAGATCTTTTATGTTATCTATAGTATTAATTCATACCAACATTCATATGCAAGCTTAAATATTGAGGTAAAATTAATTTTAATTTTAAATAAAGTTAAACAAATAAAAAATAAAATATATCATTTTTATTGTCATCAATTAAAACTTCTCTAGTTTGTAGCTTTTAAATGTCACTGCCTTCTTCGTCACTCACAAGCAGCCAGTGTTTCCTATCAGGATATAAATTCGTATGTCAGTTATGAAAACTTTAATGGTATATAAATGTGCTGGGATACACAGTTATTCTGTGATACGAAATACTGACCGCTGTGGAGTGACGAAGAAGCCAGTGACATTTAAAAAATATAAACTAGATAAATTTTAATTGAAGACAATATTAATTATGTATTTTATTTATTTATTTGTTTAACTTAATTTAAAAATAAGATTAATTTTAACTTAATATTATTCTTCCATATGAATGTTGGTATGAGTTGCAGATGCCATTAATAGTATAAATGACATATACCATCTTCTCCCTAAGAAACTTAAAAAAAAAATTATAAACATTGGCCATTATAGGGAATAATAACAGAAGAGTAGAGTGTTAATATAAAGTGACATATGATACCTGATTATGGCCTGATTAGCCGAAACATATTGTAAAGTGGAAAAGTAAAATTTATTCCATTTGTTTGACTTTGTCTTGACGGAACATATTGTTACGAATATGACCTTTGTTAGGCAACGGTTCAGTAAAAACATTTCTGAGGTTAACGCAGTCAACGGTGGGACGTCTATTGCTGGGTAGCAGGTCGCTAGACACATTTCGTAGCAATGGAAAAGGCACAAAAAATAACAGAGTAATACACGAACTACTGTCTTCGCTCGCTCGGAAGTCGGGATCGTGGGTTCGAATCCCATTCAGGGCATGGATGTTTGTGTGCGTTTTTCTGTGTTTGTGTATAGGTAGAGGTCTTGCGACGAGTTGATCACCCGCACAAGGAATCCTACCGAATGTGTAAGATCTAGAAAAACCGAAGTGAACGGAGAAGTTCATGGAGGTAGGCCTAGGTCCACTGGGGCTGTAGTGCCAAGGGGAAAAAATACACGAACTGTTCGAGGTGATGGTCTCTCGTTATAACAGAGAGGGCATTTGTAAGGGAGTTCAATACTCCCGTGTGAAGGCGGGGTCGAATACCTCCACCGTAGCCCTGCGATTCGTAGGAGGGAATCCAGTGCCTGGGGTATAACCGGGATATCCTGTTCCTGGGGGATATAAATACGGGGACCTGGCCCTCCAAGTTGGAGGAGTCTCGAATCTGAGACTGTAAAATGTAGTCACGAGTCCAACGGGAGTGGAACCTGAGAATGACTGCGCTGACGAGGATCAACAAACTACAGACCCATTCTCTCATCAGAGAGGATGTTACATAAGGACTATGAAACAAGTATTGACTTGAAAAAAATACTGGTCGTGAGTCCAAAGGGGCTTGTCGTCAAGGCGAACTGATTTGTGGTAAACCGCCAGTTGTGAAGTAACTCTGAACCTTGGGATTTCAATAACATTTAGCAAGGGAGTTCAGTTCAGTCGCAAAGGACTGTTCGTTCGTCATTCGTCAGAGTGGAAGAGAAGGCACTCGTAATAAAGTAAGGTAGACGGCGAGACTTAGGCAGTCATTGATTGTGAGTTGTTATAAATTCTTTTAATTATTATTAGTCAAGAACCCCGGACACTTGACAATGTAATATACATTAAAATGTTAATGTATTGTTAGCAATTCAGTGCCAGTAGAACAGGAATAAGGTGCTCATTAGAATATATTAGAAGGCATGAAAACTGTGTTACGCTGCGGGTGTTCATGTAACTGAACCTCTTGACGTCTGTATAGAGACACTATATTCCGTTATAAATTGATGCAGGGGAGTTGGTCATGTACCTGTGTGACCCGCATTAAGTAATCTCATGAGATATGTGTCACTATCGACGGGGTTTGGATTGGAGAGTGGAATTATTGACCATTTATTCTCACGACTGGAAAGTACAAGTAATTACAGCTCCACCGTTAATCACATTTCACAACTCACCACAGCACTCACTAAGCCTTTTCCAGCCTGCTGCGTCTTCTCCAGTCGTTCCCTGGCGAAGGCTTCTAACAGTGGATATTCTTCAACTTCACGCGCTCAAGTTCTCTCGTCGTAGCTTCCCGTGCAGAACTAAACTGAACTGACTTTGTCCCTCACTTATAACATCTCGGCAAGGACCACACATAAAATTCCGTTGTCAACAGTACCTCTATGCGTGCGTATCCGTTGCCGCGGGAACAGGTTTACCGAGCCGTTGTGTAATAACGGCCGTGGTGCAGACCACAAAACGCCGTTCTTCTATTGTGTACATGTATATTGCGGGGATTAGCCAACAACGACCTCTGTTTACAGAGTCACTGCTTAGCAATGGCTCTATACACCACACATATGTTAATTTCAGTACTTTTCAGCTATTCTGCATATCTTATGTTTCATGTGAAACAGGTGAAACAAGCATGAATATATGGACATTCAGTGTAAAGATAGCTTTAACTTTAAATGTATTCGAAAACTGTGAAGATGATCACAGCAATTCTAATTTCTAATTTTGACAAATTCATTAATTTTGATTCCATAATTCATTCATTCATCAGTAATCTGTCAGACGACAGGTCCACAGTCTCTTCCAAAACAGTTGGGAAATTCTTGATTGCCTGAGCGACTGGCTGTTTCCCAAGAACATCTCCGTTCCGTGGAGTTAGTTACTTCACTACTTTGGAGGTTAGTTGGTTCAGTGACTTGAAACAGGAAGATATAGAACGTTTTATTTGTAACGATAAATCCTATAATATTTGCTTTTACCAGATATTATTAAGTTGATTAAACAGGAGAGGATGAAATCGACGACACGTGTAGCATGCATGGTGACATAACAAATTTACACAAGATTTTGCCTAGGACGATGTGGAGGAAAGAAGCTGTTCGTGACACCACTTCGTGTGATCGTAGGAAAATAATAAAATTGACCTGAAGTATATATGGCGCGAATTTGTGAACTGGATTCAAATGGTTCAGGATAGGGTACAGGAATATATGGGACCTATAAGGTGATAATCGCAAAGGTGGGAATTTTTGGCCAGCTGAGTGATTTCCTGCCCCTCTGGTAGGATTCAGCTCCACACTCAAGAAGAGGGAAACCATTTTGATTTGGATCTACGTGATCCTATTTAAAAATAATTTGTCGCTCCGTCCTCGCACCGCAAGTAACAAAGGACTCACTTTGCACACAGACAAACATAGCTTCGGAAGCAATCTTAATCACATACGTATTATTTTCTTAGTGCTACAACTTGTGCCCGAAAGTTTGAGGTTTTGAACCGGTTGAAATGTAATTTGAACGGAATTTACGAATTGTTCCACGAATCTGCTAGCTGTACTTGTTTTTCTGTAAAGTGATTGTTTTCATACTGGCATTTTTATGGATATAGACTTATTACGTTTAACATTACTAACTCCCTGAAGCAAGTTGATCCTTGAGAAGCTGATCAAGAAATTATTAACCTTTTAGGGAACCCGACTGGTCATTACCCTGTTTCAAAGTAACTGCCACAGAACCTTGCTCTGAGTCAGGGAAATGCAATCCATGTCCTCGCATTCTACTTCTCTACGAGGGTAAGTCAATAAGTAACTTATAAATGGATATAGAACTTAAAGAAATAAGAGTACTGATTTGAAAAATGCTTTTATTTCTCAGCATAATCTCCCTGTACATTGAGGCGCTTGTCCCATCATTTCACAAGCCCCTGAAAAACAGTAGCATTAAATTCTTTGGGCGGCTGTCGGAACCAGGCGGTGACTTCCCTTTCTATAGCTTCATTGTCGGGAAAATGTTCAGACGAAAGATGGTGTTTAAGAGGGCCGAACAAATGGAAGTCGCTTGGAGCAAGACTCATACCTGTGACAACTGGGGCTAGCATATCATGTCCTTCATCGTGGTAGCGATTGAGTTGCGGTGATGCCAGACCCATTCTTTGAATTTTGTGTTGTGGGGTCAGCATGCACGGCACCCATCGTGCACAGACTTTGTGAAAACTTAACCTGTTATGCGACTTCCATTTGTTCGGCCCTCTTAAACACCATCTTTCGTCTGAACAATTTCCCGAAGATGAAGCTGTAGTTACGGAAGTCACCGCCTGGTTCCGACAGCAGCCCAAAGAATTTTATGCTGCTGGTTTTCAGAGGCTTGTGAAATGATGGGACAATACGTAAGGTACAGTCTATGACGTAGAAAAATAGAATGGCTATTCAAAAAATGAACTGCAAA